ATCACAAATATTCTTTTTTTTTTTTTTTTTTTTTTTTTTTTGAGATGGAGTCTTGTTTTGTCGCCCAGGCTGGAGTGCAGTGGCGCGATCTCGGCTCACTGCAACTTCCGCCTCCTGGGCTCACGCCATTCTCGTGCCTCAGCCTCCCGAGCAGCTGGGACTCCAGGCGCCCGCCACCATGCCCGGCTAATTTTCTTGTGTTTTTAGTAGAGACGGAGTTTCACCGTGTTCGCCAGGATGGTCTCGATCTCCTGACCTCGTGATCCACCCGCCTCGGCCTCCCAAAGTGCTAGGATTACAGGCGTGAGCCACCGCGCCCAGCCCACAAATATTCTTAATGGCATCTAGAATAGTGCATCCTTTCCAGAAGGTTTTCAGTTTACTTTGCACAGTCTATCAGAGAACTCTGTAGCAGGTATAGCCTTACAGAATGTATCTTAAATAATATGACTTGAAAGTCAGAATTACTCCTTGATCCGTGGGCTGCAGAATGGATGTTGTGTTAAGGCATGAAAATATTAATCTTCTTAAACATCTCCACCAGGGCTCTTTCGTCTCCATCAGCAGGCGCATTGTCAATGAGCAGTAGTATTTTGAAAATCTTTTTCTTTCTTTTTTTTTTTTTTTTGAGTAGCAAGTCTTAACAGTAGGCTTAAACTATTTAGTAAACCGTGCTGTAAACAGATGTGCTGCCATCTGGGCAGGTTTGTTGTTCTTGTTTATAGAGCACAGGCAGAGCGGGCTTAGGGTAATTCTTAGGGTTTTAGGATTTTTGGAATGGTGACTGAGCACCAGCTTCAACTTCAGGTCACCTTCTGTATTCGCCCCTAACAAGTGAGTCAGCCTGTTGATTGAAGCTTTGAAGCCAGACATTGAACTTCTTTCTGGCTATGTAAGTCCTAGATGGCATCTTCTTCTGGTGTAAGACTGCTTTTGTCTACCTTGAAAATCTGTTGTTTCATGCAGCCACTTTCACTGATGGTCTTAGCCAGATCTTCTGGAGAACTTGCTGCAGCTTCTCCATTAGCACTTGCTGCTTCACCTAGCACTTTTATGTTATGGAGATGGCTTCTTTCCTTAAACCTCATGACCCAACCTCCGGTAGCTTCAAACTTTTCTTTTGGAGCTTCCTCACCTCCCTCAGCCTTTGTAGATGTGAAGAGTTACAGCCTTGCTCAGCCTGTGGCTTTAGGGAATGTTGTGGCTGGTGTGATCTATCCAGAGCACAAAACCTTTCTCCATATCCGCAGTAAGGCTGTTTTGCTTTCTTATCATTTGTGTGTTCACTGGAGTAGCACTTTAATTTCCTTTAAGAACTTTTCCTTTGCATTCACAACTTGGCTAACTGGGACAAGAGGGCTAACTTTCAGCCTGTCTTGTCTTTTGACATGCCTTCCTCACTAAGCTTCTAGCTTTTGATTGAAAGTGAGAGATGTGGGACTCTTCCTTTCATTTGAACACTTAGGGGACATTGTAGGATAATTACATGGACTAGTTTCAATATCATTGTGTCTCAGGGAATGGGGAGGCCCTAGGAGAAGGAGAGAGATGAGGGAACAGCCCATCGGGGGAGCAGTCAACACACACACAACATTTATTGATTAAGTTTGGCGTCTTCTATGGGCACAGTTTGCAGTGCCCCCAAACAATTGACATAGTAACATCAAAGATCACTGATCACAGATCATAACAAATGTAATAATAATGAAAAAGTTTGAAATATTGCAAAAATTACCAAAATATGACACGAGAAATGAAGTGAGCATCTGGTATTGGGAAAATGTAATCGGTTTTAGCTAGGTGTACCTGTAGTAGATAACTTTTTTTTTTTTTTTTTTGAGACAGTCTCGCTCTGTTGCCCAGGCTGGAGTGCAGTGGCGCAATCTCGGCTCACTGCAACCTCCGCCTGCTGGGTTCAAGCAATTCTCCTGCCTCAGCCTCCTGAGTAGCTGGGACTACAGGCGCGTGCCACCATGCCCAGCTAATTTATTTATTTATTTATTTTTTATTTTTAGTAGGGACGGGGTTTCACCATGCTGGCCAGGCTGGTCTCAAACTCCTGACCTCATAATCTTCCCGCCTTGGCCTCCCAAAGTGCTGGGATTACAGGTGTGAGCCACCACACCTGGCCAGTAGATAACTTTTAAAAATGTTTTTTTTTTTAAAAGACTGTGAGATATTTAATTGGAATAAAACTATGTTGTGTAAAATGAGTATGATTCTTGACACACTGACCTTTATCTTTTATAACACAAATGATTTGAAATGGTCATGTCTTTCTTTCACCATGCCTAAATAAAGCAATAGATTAACAACCATGGTTCTCTAGCCTACTAAAGAATAATAATTATGTAATTTACATAATACTAATTATTGTTATACCTCACATATCTGAAAGTAACTTACTTGGAAACTGTAAAGAAGAGAAAATGCTGTGAGCAGGCAAAGAGAGGCCAAAGACCATGCACTTTAGGTTATGAATTGGACCTGGAAGTTACAGCTTTGATCCACGTCTATTTATTTAGACACAATTTTTAAAAGTTGCGTATACCTTTACCCATAAGCTGTTGGGGGCGGGAGAGATTGTTGCTGGACACATGCTCATTTCTAGTAAAACCAGGAGCCGATACACCTGGTAGAAAGAAGATGAAAGGGAAAACTAGCAAGCGAGCCTGGAGTCTCAGGAAGAACGGTGGTTTGGTGTGGGAGCTGATCTGGAGTCTCGGGAAGGACGGTGGTTTGGTGTGGGAGCTGATCTGGAGTCTCGGGAAGGACGGTGGTTTGGTGTGGGAGCTGCTCTGGAGTCTCGGGAAGGACGGTGGTTTGGTGTGGGAGCTGCTCTGGAGTCTCGGGAAGGACGGTGGTTTGGT